CCGCCGTGCTGCGTGGACGCGGGGATCACCCCAGGCGCCCGGGACCTGCCGCTGGGGTAGGCTTGCTCCGTGCCTAGCGGCAGCACGGGCACGGCAGCCGGGGACGCGTGGGCGCCTCTGCGACTGTGCTGGGGGCGACGCGGTGCGTTTGGGGTCCAGAGAGGGAAGTGAGGTGCACCCGCAACGCAGCGCCCAGATGCTGGGGCGTTCGGCAGTGCGAGCAAGAGCGCGCGTCGCAGCCCAGCGCGCGGCCGCGCGCACGAAACCTCTGGATTTGCTTCGCTTGCCACACACGCACGCTCAAGCCCTGTGGTCATGCTCGTCGTGGCTGCAGCCACACCCTCCGGGGTCCTTGGCATCACCTGCCGCGATGTCCTCCGCGGACTGCATCTGGAGCCCGCCGCTGGGCGCGGACTCAGCCGGGCCCTCCCAGCCTGTCGCCTCGATGATGTCCTCCATTGACACGCCGCGCACGACCACGAGCTTTTCGCGAGACTTGCGTCCGCGCACAACCTCCACGTCGGACGCGCCCAGGCGCAGGGCATCGCGAAACAAGGCGACGACGGCCTTGTTGGCGCCGCCGTCGGTCGGCTGGGCCGTGACGCGCACCTTGAGCTTGCGTCCAAAGTCGCCCACAAAACCGGCGGACTTGGCACCGGGTTGCACGTGCACGTCGATTGCGATGGCGTCGTCGCCCGAGGGCGAGGCCCAAACTGGCTGGCCGGCGGGCAGCGGGTCATCGGTCCCCACGTGCCTCGGCTCGACCGCCATGGCTGCGGAGGACAAGCGGACCGAGGGACTGCCACTTGGGGCCAGTACGCGCATCGCAGCGACCGAGGAGGCAACCTCGCGCATCCCAGGTCGGCTCGAGGGCGCCCCATCGCAGCGAGAGCGCGCTCACCGTAGTGGCCTTCGTCATTCAGCGCGGCTTGCACCACACTCGTCCGGATAAACTGTTCCGCCTCGTCGAGCTCCAGCAGGTGAGTCTCTGTGCTACGGTCGAGGCAGCCGCGCACAACGGGAGCGGGGCCAAGTCTGAGGAGGCGCACGACAGCGCAGAACGGTGCCGACTTCGGGGCCTCTTTGCGCGCGGTAAGCGGCGCGAGCCTCACCGGCCACGGCGTCCTCTGATGCATTCCTGTTTGTTTCGATCATCTGCCGGGCCTGGGCGATGGCCTGGGACCGTGCGGTCGCGTCCGCAGCGAAAACCTGTGCACCTTAGAATCGGAGGGCACGCGGCTGACGAACAAACATGACCGCAGAAACCGCGTTGGGCGACAGATCCCGCCCCCCAGACGAGCAGGGACGCTCACCCGTGAAATGGTCCGCAAGAGGCCGCGGTACAGCGCAATGACGGCGGGTTTGGTCGAAAGGGCCATTGTCGTCAAGCGCTACGGAGTGAGGTGCAGAGCGAGTTCGACTGGCGCTTCAACTCTGCACGCGACTTTTGGGAGGCGAGCGCGACTCGGCGTGCACCGCAAAGGCGCCAGGTTCGAGCTGGCGGGCTTCCCAGGACATCCAACGCCCCCGTGCGTAATTCGACGGGGTCATGGTGGCAGGCTGCGACACAACCTACACGCACACGAGTGAACACGCGGTCGGCGGACATGAGACAGGCGGCTGAGGTATGTGGGGGGGTTCTGCCCGGCATCGAGGGGCTGAAGCGGAGCCGAGGGGTTGAATGAAGCGTGTATCTTGGGGATAGCTGTCTTCTTGCGCCTGAGCGGAAAGTCATGTCATCCGAAGATGGAGGGGGAGGGGAACTGTGGTTGCCCAAGAGCGACCATCACCCCCCAGGTCGCACGTGGCGAGCCCGGAGGCTCGCAAGGTTGGCCTGCGTAGCAACGCTTTCGGTGCGCGAAGGTGGGGTGCTGCGGATCGTTCGGACCAACAAGGCGCCGAGTTTGCTCGCTTCACGCCAACAACAAGTTCAACACAAAGACGCAGCAAGTGCCCGGACAAGCCAGCCTCCTTTTGAGCTGTAGTCAGACCAAGACAGCTGTGGACGTAGATTGGCCCTGCGTGTACCGCGTCGGGACTGGGGGGCACCGCGTAGCACCTTGGGAGCGCCTGGTCTCGAGCGTATGCTCGACGGAGGGCTCGGTCTCGCTTCAGCTTGTGTAGCTGGGACCCCTCCAGGATGTAGCTGGAGCATCCGACTCAGCATGCGCTCTCGCGGTCGCCCAGCGGGTCGTCGCGGTTGGTGCTGAAATCGCCAGTGTCGGTTGACCAGACCGGCTCACCGTACTCCTCATACACGACAAAGTTTCCGTCGCCGTTGAGGCGGGCCACTGTTCCCTTTTTGTCGCAGTCGTGGATGTTTGCGGCCCACACAGCACTGTGGTCCTTGTTGTACTCGACGAGGTTGCCATCGGGCTGGAGTGTGAGGGTGAAGGGACCGTTGTGCTGGTTCTCCAGGTGGTTGTGCCACAACTCGCGCCCGTTGCCGAACAGACTGATGCGCCCGTCGTTCCGAAGCTCGAGGGACGCCCCTCCGCTGACGAGTTTCTCACCGGCTCGTAGAGACTGCCCTTTCTTGATCTCCGTGGGGTTGGGGAGCTTGCAGCCTTCGCCAAAGAACCCGTTGTTGCGGACTCCTTCACTGTTCATCTTGCCACCGTCAGTGCCGCTCATCCACATGACCTTGCCATTGGAGCTATACACGACAAGGTTGCCGTCCATCTGGAGCTCCAGACGACCGGGGGGGTTGTTGTGGCACTTGTGCATGCCCGTATGCGCCGAGAACAGCGTCTTCTGCCCGCGCCTGATGTCGAAAGTCCCCTTGGTGGTGTATCGCAACTCGGCCTTTTCTCCGTCCGTGCCCGACGAAGTGGTGACGGGGGCCTCCCAGAGAACATTGTCGTACCGGTCCTTGAGGCGAAAGCTCCCGTCGTCTTCCAGCAGGCCGTACGCCTTGCCGCCAGGAGGGTCCAGCCTTTTGCCGGCTGGCAGCGTGTCACCAGGGAAGAGCTTTGACACAGGACCGGACGACTGGCTTTGTTTCTTCTTCGCGAGCTTCACTTGCTCGTCCGAGTACGTTTTGAACATCATGTCGTAGGTGGACTTGTCCATCGACGTCGCGAGTTCGTAAAACGGAGTCAGCTCGTAGCGGACAGGCATGGGAGCCTCGCGCACGGATGCAGCCCACTCGCCAAATGCGCTGTCGTCCTTGCCCCCGGCAGTGGGGGGCAGGCCACCGAGCACAAGCGTGCGAGACTCCGCACTTGCCGACTGCATTGCGTCACGCGCCTCCTTATTCTTGGAAAAGCTGGCCGAGGATCCACCGGAGCCAGCACCGAAGGACGCCTCCACAGCCAAGCTGACATCCACGTTGCTGTTGCGGATCTTTTCCACGCTGCTGCGGTCCATGGTCACCTGGTGGATCATCTTCCCCCCGAGGTGGACCTTGCTGATGTAGTGCGTTCCAAACTCTTCGAAGAAGGCGTTCCATGTGTCCTGGTCGCCTCCGACAAGGCCCTGCACTGCAGCTTCAAAGTGGGGCATCTGCTTCAGTTTCGTGTCGGCGCCCTTGTTGAAGCCTGCAACGAATTGAAGGCAGTATGACACGAGCTCGAAGCGCTCCGAGCCCTTGCTCGCGACGTCGCGGGCGAACTCCCCAAAGCCGGCCGAAGCAGAGAAGGACCCCGAGAACCCCCCCACGCCGTACCCCCCCTGCACGCTTGCGTCGACTTGGAGGGAGCTCTGGTAGTCCGACTCGGTCGAGAGCTCGCGCGAAGACGACGACATGTGGCAAGAGTACTCTGGGAAGGCGAACCCGCCGACAGGCTGGAGATAGCGCATGTCCCTGGACAGGTGCTCGTTGCTCTGGTCCCAGACAAGCTCCACGACAGAGTTTCGGAAGCCGGGGTCGAGCTGCGTCTCGGGATCACCGTCCGGGTTGCCCCGGATGAGGTCATAGCCGACGCCTGCGAACGAGCAAGCGGCGGTCCGGGACGAGCTTCAGCGAATGCGGGTCAGTCGATCAGGCTGCCAACCCAACGCCTCGGCTGCTCTGCGATCGCAAAACAGCTGTCCTCTTGGGCCCTCGCGAACCCCCCCCCCCCCCCGAACGTTATCAACGCCCCCCAGCTTATCGCGGCGCACTTGGAGCCAGGCTTCGGGGTTCTCGGTGACGAGCGCTCACCGAGGTAATCGACGCTCGGGTACGGCAGATTCTCGCCTAGCCCCTCCCGGGTCGTGACATCGCGCGTTGTAGGGCTGACTGCATCCGGTCCAAGAACCATGGCCGTGTTCTGGTCCATGCCGCGCCGCAGGCTGGCGGCGCTCGCACCCGCGGCCACAAGGGCCGCTGCCAGAAGTCGCATTCGAGTCGGGGGCTAGTGTCATCTCCCTGCGGCTGGCAGCACGCTTGGCCGAGCGCTGGCAGAGCTGCAGAGGTCTTTCAACGGCGACGTTGGCAACTTTATTGGCCTCGACCGCGCCTCGGGCTCGGGTCTGTGTTTCGGCGTGCCATGCGAGCTGCCAAGGCCTCGGCAGTCTCCCAGAGCGGCTGCCGAGGCGCGAAACTTTCTGTGCTTTCCGGTTTCACTCGAGACAGGCGCTTGTCCTCGCAGGAAGACAACCGTGCTGGCTCCCAGTCCAGCGCTACGCAACAGGAAAGCATGTCTCTGGCCTTCCGCAGCTCGCTTGGGTTCTGGAACGGAGCGAAGCGCGCATGGCGCCCTGCTTGCCAGGCCAGGCCGCCTCTGGGCATTGTGGAGGGCACTGAAGCGTCTGTTGCTGCCTCGCGGAAGGTCTCGCCTCGTAGCATGGCATCGCGCGTCAAGCTTCAACAGCGTTCGACTCGCGGAGGTTTCAGTGTCTCGGCGCTTGGCAGGAGCCTAGCATCGCGTGGCAAAGCCTTTTTTTGGTCCCGGCTTATCGCTCTCGCGCGTTCCTGTGCTGGCATTGCAAGCTGAGGCGTCTGGATTGGGCGTTCGGAGTTCAGTGGCGGCAAAAAAAAGGAGTCCTGCACCAAAGGGGAAACAAAAAATAGGAAGTACCCAGGACAGGATTCGAACCTGCGCCTCCGAAGAGACTAGAGCCTGAATCTAGCGCGTTAACCACTCCGCCACCTGAGTACGAGGGGATGTGCCTAAACAGTGTATCTGATTTTAATGCAAAACGCTTCTGCGCGCTCGCAACCGCCGACCGCGAACCGTGTCCACCTGCTCACAAGCACACGAACCAGTGGCCTATTCTCGTGGCACACCCGTGGGCACTTTCGAGTCCGCACGGCAGGCCCACAGCTGGGCAGCACTGAGGCTCTGCCTGCGTGAGATGAGAGCGGCCCTCCAGCCAGCGGGACCGCCGCGTCTCTCGACAAGCCGGCGCGTCCCTGGGTGGAGCCTGCCCACGGGGTGCAGCGCCTTCGATGCCCAGGCTCGGCCTGGGCACTAGCCGTGCGCAACCTGGGAGGTCGGGGGTTTTGCAGCCCACGCGTGCGGGGCTGGCCCAATATTAGCGCGGCAGCAACAGAGCAGGGGCGTCGGGCCGCAGACCGCGATACCCCACAGGGATCCCGCCGCAAGGGGCAGGGACCCGCGGCATGTCAGGCCGCGGCGTTCTCATGGCGGCACTCGCTGCTGTGGCTGCGTTTCTGGCGGCGACGGCGGTCGCGGAGCGGGTGAGGGCGCAAGAGCGAGGTCGCCGAACGAGCTTTGGCACAGGCTCGGGGCCGCGCCCCTGCCTCCGCGAGCAGTCTGCCCGCGTTGCGACGGAAAAGGTCCTCACTCGGCTACCTTGTCGTGCCCTGGTCTCTTGCATGTCCGCTGCTTCGCTCCACCTCGTGGTGTTGCTCCCGAGCGACCCTGATTCCTCCGCGCCTATGCAGGGTCTACCCGTGACGCAAATGGAGGAGTATGCCGGGCCCATCGTCAGGATTGGCCAGGGCGCCAAGTTTGCCCAGCACATGAAGGACGAGTTTGGGGAGGCTCCGGCCGTCGTGGGCAATTGCAAGGAGGCCGAGCTTGGAATGCTGGTCGTGCGCATTCCCCCTCCGGCTGCCGTCGGCCAGGCGACGCCAGCAAGCCCAAGGGAGGACCACGACCGAGATGGGTCGTGGGACATTGCCATGCGGCTTGCCGGGACCGCAAAAGTGCAGCTGAGGCAGCTAGTCTCGGTGGGGCTGCTGCCTCCACAGCAAGAGGCGGACGTCCGCGGCGAGCAGGCAGGGGAAAGCGCAGACGGCGAGAGTGGTTCCGGCGAAGAGAGCCTTCTGCAGGCGCAGGCGGGCCGCAGGAGGCGCCCGCTGGACCCCGACAGCGGGTCCACTGGCGACCAAGACGAGCAGAACGAAAGCCAGGTGTCCGACGGCTCAACCGGCCCTCTGCCGCCCCAGTCCCAGGACGGTCAAGAGGATGGGAGCCTGGATTCCAGCAGCGAGGGTGGGACTGACGACGAAGGAGATGCCACGAGTGGAGACGGTGGGAGGGGGAGCGGCACCAGCGAGGGCAGCGATGTTGGAAGCCCGCAGTCCGACTCGTCCCAGGGGCGCGAGAGCCAGGAGCGCAGCGCGGACGTCGAGCTGGCGGTGGACGAGAGCCAATCGCCCCTGCGGCTGGACCCTGGGGTCGTGGCACAGCCCGGGCTCGTTGTGAAGGTCGTTGGCACCGACGGCTCCCAGAGTCAGGTGTGCGGCTGGGTGTCCATTGCCATGCCCGCCACACTGAGCGTCCGCTCGGAGCCCGAGCTGCTCTTCAGCTACACCAGCGACTTCAAAACTTCCTCGCGCGTGGTCGCGGACATGACGCCCCCCGAACAGGCTGGATCGCACGGCACAGGGCCTGTGGCTGGATCTCAGGGGGGCGGAGACGGGCAGGAAGCGGAGTGCGGGGGGCAGTCCGACAGCGTCTACTGCCTTGGCGGCCTGCAGCGCTGCGTTCCGCGGGATGCCGACCGGCATGCCCTTCTCCTCTCGGATCCTGCGGCCAAGTGCCCGGAGGACGAGTCCCAGCCCTGCCGCCTTGGAAAGGGCGACCACTCGGTCAGCCTCGCCCAACCAGTCAAGGGCCTGGCAGCATGGATCGACCAGGCACAGAGCCTGGCCGCCGAAATTCACTCCATCGCCGAGGGCGAGCACGGAGACGGCAAGGCCGCGCCGTTGGCGGCGCTACTGGAGGAGGTCGAGGGGGCGAGCGAGTACCCGGAGTGGCTGCGCACAATCGCCCAGGTAATGATGCCCGTGTCAGGACTTCGCGGCGACGACGCGCACGCCAGCAATATGCTGTCAATCCTGGGAGAGCGGGAAGAGCAGGCGGAGGTCGACCATCGGCTGGCGAGCGTGCTCAAGGCATTTGGCAGCGAGGAGCGAATCGACTTGGACGTCGTCCGGGACGCAGCCGCTTTGCTCGAGCAAGCGCTGCCGGGGAGAGCTGTGTTTCCGCCTCCCGCAGCGGAGGGCAGCATCGCGCCGGAGCCCTCTGGCATTGCTCTGGTGATCAAGACGGCGAGGGGGGACGCAACCCGCCGAGAGTACGGGCCTTCCGCCGTGCCGCCGAAGCGAGCGACGCCTACTCACTTGCAGAGCATCGTCGCCGAGAAGATGGTGGGAATCAGCGAGCGTCTCGCCGCTGCCAAGAGCGAGCTCGCGAAGCTGGGCGAGGAAGTCAACAGCGGCGACTCGGTGCAGTGCCCCGACGTCCAGACGGCAATTGCAGCAATCGACGCACTGCAACCGGAAGGCGATGGCCCCGAGTTGGGGACCTCCATGCAGGTCATGCTGCAGGCCAGTCGAGCAGCCTACACCTGCCACCACGGCCCTGCGAAGAAGCGGTTTGCGGCCATCAAGGCAGCGGGTGTGTCCCAGGCGGAGGCAGACTTTGCCCGACTGCTCGAAAGCGCGGCCTCGCCCTCGGAGGACTTGACCTCGAAGGTTCAAGCGCTCAACGGAATGATCATCAAGGGTCAGGACGTAAGGCTTGAGGACCGGATCAACAGACTCGTCTTCTCCGCACTGGACCGGCTCATTTCGGAGCACCCCGACGCAGAGCCGACGATTGACCGCGCTGCTGTCGAACGCACAGTCAGGACGTCAATCCAAGGCGTGGATCGACGCGAACAGAAGGAGTGGGAAGAGGAGCTGAAGAAGGTGCTTGGAATCCAGCACAAAGGTGACAAGCAGCTGACCCAAGCGCAAACTGCCAAGGGCACTGCGGGGCGCGTCTTCGTGTGCCCACTGGCTGCCCCGCTGGACGACATCGCGTCAGCGCAGGAGTGCGGGGCGCTCTGCTCGGGCGCGGTCTACGACGCTGCCCAGCCGCTCGCCGACGCTGGCCTGTCCGGCATCCGCATGTCGCTCGATCTGTCCGCCTCGTTCAAGAGCGGAGAGGGGGCGCTGCCTCTGTTCATGCAGTCGGTGTGCGCGGTGCCTTACATTTGCGGCGAGGATCACTCTGTAAGGCTGCGGCTCTTCGAAGTCTTGCCAACCGAAAGCGCCTCGCCGGACTTTGCTGGGATGTCCACGCGCACTCAGGCAGCCGAGGCAGTCTTCTGCTCCCCCAAGGACGACAGCGGGGTGACGGCACGGTCGGCGCCGCGTTTTGGCGAGGTGAAGCTGGACCTCACAGTTCAGGCGAGCAAGTCGTCGGCAGTCATGGCCGACGACATCTGGGAGCTGGCCTCCAACGGGCAATCGACATCGCACGCCCTGTCCATGTCGTCGCGCTCGGGGTTGGTTTCGCTGCCCCTCCGGTGGCCGAGCCTGGGCGACAACCTGGACGAGAGCGGGAAGCGAGTTCTCTTCGACGGGGCAGCGCTTCTCGGGGTGTCCGAGGCCACTGCTCTGCGGCAATCCAGGACTGCAGGCCACCAGGTGGTCCGCATCGGCGGCAGGTGCACTCTGACCGACACCAACTGCGAGCTTGTGCGCAAGCACGCAATCGAAGCCCTGTCCAGAGCAGCCCAACTGGCCAAGGACGTTGGTGGCAGCCCAGCAATCCAGCCCCACGGAGTCTGCCGCGCCATCGAGAGCGGCGGCGTGTCTTCTCAAGGCCATGGTCAGCCCACGCAGGACGTTGACGAAGATGGCGTCGATGTCAGCGGCCTCGAGGACGAAGACAACACGGACGACGAGGTCGCCCAGGGTCTGTCATCGGAGGCCCCGCCCAGGTCGCTGCTGCAGAGGGGCGGCCGTGGAGCTGCTGTGCGTCCCGGCCGTCGGCGTCGCCGGAGAGAGGACGGCGACGACGAGAGCTCTGGCTCGCAGGTCAGCGACAGCGAGGATGAAGCTCCCTCCTCCCAAGCTCAGGGCAGCGGCGACTCGGAGGTGCAAGAGACGCAGCAGGACGAGGCGAGCACGCGTCGGCCTGCTCTCAACACCGCGTTGCCTGTGACCTCACCCAGCACCATGGGGTGCCACGACGGCGAGCTCGTGCGCGTCCCGACTTCCGACGGAAGGGCGCTTCGTGTGCTGGCTCGAGTTGCGGCGAGCGTGACCTCGCAGCTGGATCCGATCGCTTTTGCCAGGCGGATGACCGACTTCTCAGACGAAACCGTTTGCGCCGAGTTTGCCATTTGCATCCGAGGCGTGCTCGGCTCTCCGCTTCACCCGAGCGGCGACGACAGCGGGCACGGGCTCGACCAGGAGACGCAGGACTCCGAGGAAGACGAGGATGCGGAGCACCCTTCGTCGCTGCTGCAGCTGGCCTCGGGTGCGTCTCGGAATGATGGGAAGGGCTTCTTGGCCAACATGCCCAGGAAAACGACTCCCATTGACTTCCACGGCATCGTTCAGAGATTCGCAAGCTCCCCGGCGTTCTTGGAGCGCCCCACGCCCGTTGAGCTGAACACCCTTCACCCTCGCACGTACCGCCTTGTCGTGAGGCTCAGCAAGTCGGTCAAGACCGAGGACGCGCTGGCATGCCCCGCTGAGCTCAACGAGGAGGACGTGGACAGCATCCTCGGCACTTTTGCTCTGGACGCTGACTTTGGCCTGGTTCCGTTGCATCGCGCCGACGAGGGCCTCGATGCCTTTGCCGAGACCAGCACAGCCTTCAGCGACGAACAGGCGCAGCACCGCGCCGACCTCATTGCCAAGGCCACGTCAGAGACGCTCATGCGTGGCCTCGACACGGACGAGCCG